CATAAATTTTAAGTTAATTTATGCTCGTTAAGCCCTAAGTAGACTCTTTCGTAAATTTCGAGCGATTTGAAAGTGAAAATTCGTAAGTGACAATTATGACAAATATTTTTTTTGCATTTTTTAACGCAACGTTTAGTTGAGCATATTTTTAATAGTGAATAAATAGAGGTCGGAGAGTGGATTGAAGGTAGACAGGAGGGTAAATCTAACAGAAAGAAGCTAGAGCGTTATAGTCATCTCTGTTATCCGAGTGCGGTCTTTATTTAGAAGATTTAGAAGGCAGGCAAACGAAACCGTGTTTGTGTATCCTACAGACGTGCTTAATTCGCAAAGTTATTTTATCCGTGGAATTTCAAAGGACGAAGCAACGTATTAAATTCGAAAAATAACCGAACGACTGCTAATTTATTTTATCAATTTTTTAAAAAATGGCGACACTTTTAGCTACCGAGACCCTTTAAAAATTTAACTCTTTTTGTTGTACATTCTATTGTTGACTGTGGTTGTACTTTAATTAAGGCTTCTATCGCGTTGCTGTTGAATTGGAACGAAAACCTTGATCTTGTTTCACCTTGGTAAGGTAAAAGTGTCACTTCGAAACTTAAAAAGCTCTCCTCGTTTTCACAGTTATTCTTTATTGGATTTGTCGCGGTATTTTCATTCTTAACTTGAGACAATGTACAATGTCTCGAATGGACCTTGTTTACCCTCGTTTTCTAATTACTTTTAACGCAAAGAAACGGAGAGCTCTTGTGTATACTTGCTAATTTATTTAAACTAAAGAATAAACGCTTGTTTGTAATTGTTTTTATTATTTAGAATAAAACAGAATAACTTGATACGAAATCTGGCGTTTTAAAGCTCTTGAATTTAAACAGAATTTACATTATGAGTATTCAAATGACTGAGCATTTCAAATAAACGATATTTGAATAATTAACATGGTGGTTTGAAGATTTGCCAAGGAAAGAAAATAAAAGTGAAACGGAAACTGACGGATTTCGATGAAAGTGAGTATCAAATTGAATATTCTAGTAGAAATGATCGACGATCGAAATTCAAGCTTCTGGTGTAAATTGAAAGAAAAAAGGGGAACATTTTAGAATTGTCAGCGTAAAACCAGAAATAGTGTGTCCCACTTGCATTCGTTAGCGCAGAGTGCTTTGTCAGTGCAAGCAACTCAAGTTAGCGCGAAGAGACTGCTTTCTTCATTAAAATGTAGAGTGTTCACCTTATTACCAGCCGCCGTTTTTCCCTTAAGTGATAGGCGAACGGAGAAAATGAAAGAGGAGAAATTTTCCCTTTATTATTTAACAGCTTCGATAGAACTTATTAGCCGGATAATTGAAAACTGGATGTACTCTGATTTTATCGGATTTTTAATGTCTTTACAACAACACAGGTGTTAATTTGATATTTGCAAAGAATTGATGGAACATATTTTCTCAAAGATTAACAGAAATCGTATTGAAAAGTTATTAATATTAAAAATTATTCTTTTATGGAAATTTCGTATTAGAAATTATTCCTTTCGTTTGCAAATCTTTATCGAGCGTCCTAACTTGTTTGAATTTAGTAGTTTGTTTTAATTTAAAGATGGAAATGTAGGATTTAAAGTAAGACTATATTGAATATCATTTAGGATTCTGTACTATCATACTATAGATCTTGTAATATTTAATTTATTTTATTTCATAACTTTGTAATTAATTTTACTTTATAACGTTGCAATATTAATGTAATGTCTTATATTGTAAAATAATTGTATTTCTATATTTCCTTTGGCTTGCTTGCAATCAGTGTAGGACTAAAATTGACAAGAGGATTCTGTACTGACATCAAAGGATCGCATACAAAAATACTTTAAATTATTTGAAAGACAGCAAGCTTTAAAATTTAAATACCCCAATGTAGAAGAAAATTGATTTAAATTCGTCGCTTATGACGTAGCAGTAGATGCAACGTAAAACCTGAAATTAAAACGATCTCTCCAGTGTTTCGTAAATTTCGTTACACATTTCATAGAAAGAAATATGTTAACGCTACTAATTGTATAGAAAACGAAAGGTATTTTCGAAAAGGAAGGAACAATTTTTAATTAACTTGTAATATATTATAGCAAGATACATCGCTATTCGCGTCTGTAATACGGTATTAATTCCGAATTAGTAGGAAAATTAGCGCGAGCTTTGATATATTCATGCAGTGATAAATAATTCCTAGCTATTAACCACTAATGCATATGAACCAAAATCATTTAAGCAGAAACTCGTTCAATTATTCTCTACACAATTTTAATGCATAATCGTTATCTACATCTGCCAATTTCGATGTAGGAAATAAAGGTGTACACGTTACACCGCTATAGTCCATTAATTTTAAAGCATTTACGTAGAAGTTTATTTCGAGGACATTTAAGCAAAAATGCATTTTATATTATTTCGTGCAGAATTTTAACGCTTAATTGTTGTCCGTGTTTGCTGATTTCACTGCGGGAAATAGAGGTTCGCATAATTACACCGCTACAGTCCATCAATTTTAAATATATCTACAAACGAATCTTCCTATCGCGTAATATTACTATTAAAATAAATTATTTAAATAAATTTAAATAAACGATCTTTTTTGCTTCTTTACGCATAGTGTACTTTTCCTGCTACAAGTAACGTTTCTTCGTATTTATATTGGTCGACACGAGGAACTCGATTATTCGTAAATTGTTCAAATTTTTCTCCCTCGTTAACGCCGCGCAATTTATTCGAAAATAAACCTGCTTCATTGGAAGCGTTATTAAAATTGCTCCCGCGTATTTCGCCTTCGTTATAAACTTTTGTTTCCTGCGAATTTCGCGTCTGACGCATCAAAATTAACGCGAAACGAGCACGAAGGAGAGGGGGGAGGGGTGGAAAAAAGAGAAGTTATGGGGAAAGTTGGAGACAGTTTCGTCTGAACTTTTCCATGTAGATACGGTCCGAGGGTGTTAACCACACGGATATACGCGCATACGCGCGAGAATATGCGCGCGCACTGGTGCGAATAGGGGTAGATACACTCTCGTTCGTAAGTATTGGGACGCTTATTGAATGTGAAAGAAACCTGAACAGTCGTTACGAGATGATCGAGATCCTGGAAAAAGTGATTCTGTCTGAAATTTCGTAGTACAACGAGTACACTTTCGTTCGTAAGTATTTGGATACTTGGTGAATGTGAAGGATATTGAAATATAGTGAATTCTACTGAAATCTATCGAAATCCATTGAACTCTGCTGAAATCTACTAAAATCTACTGAACTCTGCTCAGAAGTTACTGAAATCTGCTGAATTTTATTAAAAATCTACTGTATTCTACTATTACCTACTGAAATCTGCTGAATTTTATTAAAAACCTACTGTATTCTACTATTACCTACTGAAATTTACGGAAATTTGCTAAAATTTACTAAAATATACCGTATTCTGCTAATATTTACTGAAATCTCGTGAAACCTAAGGAAATCTACGAAAATCATTGTGTATAAAAAATAACTAAACTTTGTCCTCTTCTATTTTCCCCACAAATCTACCTGTTACCAGACAAACACAGGAAACTGTAACGCGAACACTCCGTATATTTTTTTATCGATTTACGATACTAACTTCGTCGAAGAAATGTCATGTAAATCATACAATACTTTCTGTACAAACATAATAGGTGTTCTAATACTTATGAACAGCGGTATTACGAAGGTTAGAGAGGGTGGTCGAAGATAACCACCTACGATACGGCTGGCAACTCGATGTAATCTCCTAATGCCTCGTGCTTCAATTACTTCAAATAGCTTTAACCTGTCGCCCCTTGTGGACAGCCTGTCAATATTTATAAGGTGTTTCAATCTGTATCCTGCGTTATTGAGATTTAGACAAGAGTGTTTGATAGGAATTCATTGTGTCTTTCTTCCTCCCCTTTTACCGTTGTCTTTCTATAGCACGAGTAAAGCGGTTACATTTACCGAATAAGCTTTGACGAATAGAGAAACTTTATTCCGGTAGGTAAAGAAGAATAGATTTTGAATGTGACCCTTTTTTTAACCGGCACATCGAGGAATATTTAAAAATACCGTAGTATCGTAAAAATGTTGCCTTTTCGTATTACGTGCAGTTTTAAGAGGCGCATGGCGAAGGTTGTAAAATAGAAAGTGGGAGTCGACGGAGATACGATGGGAAAGTTGTGAAAAAAGATAAAGTGCATAGGATGACAAATTGGAAGTTGTTGAATTCAGATAACCGTAACTTCTAAACGAACGAATGAAACGCAAAAATTCCAACTCTATTTTGTAAATAAAAATCTATATTTTTTACTGTATGTAAATAATTAACGTAAAATAGTTAATTAACAGCAATAAAAGGCGACAAATTGAGGATGCTAATGTTCTTGAAAATGTGTTTCTAATTTTAACGTAGTTGTGTAAAGCAGGTATTAACAACATATGTACAGGGTGTTTCGTGTAAAAGTATGTCGAAGATATAGAATAAAATTTGTTCACACGGAGCTTTGTTTTCGAGGAAATCGAGTTTGAGTATTATACCTGTAATATTTACAATTACACCAAATTCTGACCGATATTGTTCGTAAACATAATTAACAGGCGACCAGCCAGATTGGGTAAACGAAGCAAATTGCGGCTAGTTGAGTGCACTCGTACTTAACGAATATTCAAACTCGATACTTTCTCGAAAACGGAGCTCCATGTGAACGAACTTTTTTTCTATATTTTCGACTTACTTTTACACGAGGAATCACCTCCTTTCAGATTTCAGAAACACCCTGTATATCGTCAGTCTTGTGTTCAATTTTTCTTACCTCTAGATGTACAAAATGAATATAATCTAACAGGTACGAAAGGAAATTATCGTAAAATATCGAAGGTTACAACACCTTCTGTCCCCGATACTCGATGGAAATTCGATCGGTATAATTGCACAACGCTTGGCAAAAATTTGATTTCACTTCGTCTTACAAGATGTCTCGAAAGCAATTTAAAAGCAATCATCCAAACGGGAATATCCCGGAAAATTTATGCCGCAAAACGATAAAAGCGTCGTTAAACATCTCCGGGAAACAAACAAAGTCGCGAAGAAAAAAAGAAAGCATCGAACGTCGCAGAAGTAAGTAAATTTCGCGGCGAAAAAATCGAGCAACGTCGAACTCCGTGGATAATGGTGTTTCGCGCGTGCGGTGGAAACTTTTTCCATAACGAGCAAGAATAACGCAGTCAGAAAGTTGGCGAAGAATCGAAGAAAAATTATGATAAAATTCCGCGAGAAAAGGAGGGAAAAATGAACAACGGGAAATTGAAAACACAGTTTCGAATGAGTTTCTGTTCTAATTAACCGTAGAATCTTCACCATTAACCCTAGCATAGTAGCGTTAATTTTTTGTGAGATTAACATTGGCGCACTGTCCTTCGTGTGGTAAAAATAATGTTTGCATCTTTTTCTACTAACTTAAAATTATTTATTTTAAAACTTGCAAATTTTTAAAATTATTTATCTGAGAACTTACAACAAAGTTTAGAGGGTGCGCCGGAGGGGAAGTCGAGGGCCAGCGATAGTTTTCCCCGCGGAAAAAAGGACAGTGTTGATTTGGAAGTCGAGCGTATCGTTAAGAGTCGTAATCGTATATGTGTAGTCCTGTTACCTTAACTTTAATTCTTACGTATATTATAATAAACTACATTTTTATATCTAACACTACAATGCATACACATGCATTATAGCATGTTCATAATTTGTTCATCATGCATCTCATCCGACGTTTTTGTCTCACCGATGAATATTTAAATCCTCTACTTTCTGTAACATTATTCCCCTTCTATCACGTTCCCCTGCTATTCTACATTATTCATTGCTGAATTTCGCCGTTTAATTTCATAAAATAATTCTCACACAATTCCGATCAATTTTAACCAAAGTTATTTTTCTTCTAGTTCCAGCAAGAACGACGGGACAGGTACTCCTCGGAGAGGTCGATATAGCTCTTCAAGAAGATGGCGAAAATGAAATAACGACGGAAGAACCGTATCCAAAAAAATGCATCGTCGATGGAAATGCATATTCTCACAGCCAGACGGTACGTAAACAAACGTCACGATCTATACCTCCCGTTTTTTTCTCTCTCCTTTTTTAGTTAATTCTCGCGATTACGAGGTTCGAACAATCGTGGAACGATGCCAACGGTTCTTGTTTTCATACGCTGCATGAAATGTAATACCATTTTGATAACGCTCGTGTACACAGGAATTGATGCAGGTGAAATCCAACAGATTTTCTTGTGTCGTCAATTGAAACGTTTATACGTACGAGGTTCGATAATGAGTTCCGAAAAATACCAAGAAATTCACCGTACCTATGGTCGTATTATGAATTTTAAGCGTGCACCTGTATGAGTGAGGTTGCAATTTCTGAAAAAAAAAGGTATAACATTTTAGGAAGAACTTAAGATAAGTACTAATTGAGGGGTGTTACAAAAATATTTCTTCAACAGTCGATAAATACTATTTTTCAAAGTGAATTAATAAAGAGAGGCCTGGCATTGCCGCGAAGAAGATTCCTCCGGAGAAAGGACCTTTTCTTTAAAACGTCGCACTTATGGTATATTTATAGCAGATACAATATAGGATTTGGAGATTTCTCGTTCATCTATCGTCCTCGGTCCAGTGACGAAGACGTTGACGAATGGTGGACGCCCAGTGGGAGAAAAGACCAGGCCTATGAATTTCGATGGGAGACACATGGTTGGCCCATAAAAACCGAATCACAGAGCGAATTTCCACGCGGAACCATTTCTCAAGTTGCGGCACCGTTATACCGTGGTGTAGAGAAGCAACCACTCATGTCAACGACGTAGGTCCTACTGTTGGAACGTGTGACATAAACAATGTGTACATACAGGAAGACTAAATTTCCCCCAGCATGCATGGAACTGTTACTCAAGGAAATCTTAGTTTCTTATCATCCTACGTGTAGTAACTGTGGCATTCGGGTCCTCCATACCTGTCAAAAGGAGCAATAACAGCCAGGAAATCAAGAGCTACTTTTTTAGACAAGTTAACTCGTGATCGGTCACAAACACAAGTATACCTACTTGTGACCGATCAGTAAAGTGTTAAGAAATCAGAAGTGACAAAATCGTCAGTGACGAGAGCCAGAGTCAGTCTGAAACACTCAGTGTTCCGTCGCGCAAGTACGGAACGCGTGGGGTCTTCGTTGACCGGGTTTATGGCACGCTCGCACGAGAAGGTTATTTTTGAGAACAAAGACGCTTCGTAGTTCCGCGAAAAAATAAGTAATTTCTTACAGAACAATGCCCGTAGAATTTTGACTTTTCCGCGTCCTCAATAACCGAAGACGTGTTATAAACCAGGGTTCCTGAAGGGTCAATCCACACGTGCGTATAACAGCACTCTTGGCCGAGGGTTGAACTGGCGGGAATTTCCGACGCGTCACCGAAGGACAGCGAATATTCCACGCACCCGCAGGTAGGGCCCCACTCCTTCCAAGGAAAAGCGCGCTAAGGGCGCAATGGACGGGTGGGTGACACTCAAGGGGTACGTTGATTGGTAATTTGTGCGTACGTGAAAAACCAATCAGCGTTCCTTCTTACACTTGGCAGGGGAGTCACTGCGGACTCCAGAAAAATTCGGCGATCGAGCGACAGATTCGAAAAAAGGTTCCATCGAACGAACACCACTAGATCTCCAACCGTTCGAGGAGACACAACACATTCGAAGGATTCTCTCGTGTGAACGCGTACGCTTGTTCATGATAGCGCGCGGGTGAATCTCTGTTCGTCCCTGCCTGAGCGGGAGCTCTACGCGCGCTCTGATTGGCCAGTGTTTTTCGTTTTAACAAAAATATGTATTTAAAATATGAACGCGACGCGACACTCAGAGAGTCAGTTTTCTTTTTATTATGCCATAAGAATTGTATAGTATTTTTATGTACAGGTAGCATACTAGTAGGATTACTAGTTGTCCATTATTTGTAAAAGATTTGTCGATATTCCAGCCGTTGTATCGTACGAAGTTTTCTGGTAAATTTTATGGGAAGTAAAAATTGTACGTGACAATTACTTGTACAGACTTGGTCGTGAGTAGCTAGTTCAAGAAGTTTGGAGTTCAAATATTCAGTTTGTCAGGAGCATTAGGTCAGCCAGTGAGTTACAGGTAGCTCAGCCAGTTCCAATCAGTCAGTCAGTCAGTGACAAACATTCAGCCAAGAGTGAGTTACAATCAGTCAGTTCAGAACGCCCAGCAATCAGGCTAGACAATAATTACTCAAATTAGCAATCCGGGCAGTCGACTTAGCACTCAGGCTAATCGAACAGGCATTCAGGCGAGGAAAAAGCATTTACGCTTCTTCGCTACAATCAGTTCGTTATCGAAAGTTAAGTTTTCTGAATAAATTAGTAAAAACACAAACTGTAGTAAAAAATCAAAGATTTGCCTTTGAATCAAGACCCTTTGACAATCTAATATAATTACGAATTAGAGTGAATAAAATTCATATTTTACACGATTATTTTTAAAGCACAGTAAAGCACCCTACGTCACAGTTCTGATAACAATATCTCGTCCCTTTCTAACTTTCTTCCTAAAAGTCTCTCTTGAATTAAACTGTTCGTTATTTAACGCACTGACCGATTCTCGCTCGGGATAAACTCTCGAAGGGTTTAATAATAAACGGAAGCCTTAATAATAATTATTATAGTGAGAATCAGTTTCCCGAAAACAATAGCGTCAAATCGAAAACTACCACTGATAACGCATTTTTGCGTCAAAGTGTGAAGAAAGGGTTTCAAACTGTTTTCTTCAAAACTACTGAAACTATCGACTTCATTTTCTTTTTTCAAATTACATAAAAAACGAAAACAATCATTAGCTTTTCACTTCCATTTAATTAACCCTATGTCAAGAACCAAAATTGTCGTCTACTTTATCGTCCAATCTTACCACTTTTCTCATAACAAAATTTTAAACTTGAAGCAAACACGAGTAGGAAATACGTCGAATAACAACGATCTGGCCGGATATTAAAATCCCTTACCGGGGAGATCAAATATTTTAAGTGAGAAAATGTGCAAAAGGGGGTACATAGGACCCGATTATTGGCACAAAAGTTAAAGAAAAAATATCAGAACTATTTTTACTTCTCGTATTAAATGTAAAATTTCAGCACGAAAATTTCAAACCTACCGGATGTGAAAGTACCCAGGAAAAAAAAATCATACGGCGCACTATTGCGCAATATTCGCGGGCCAAAACGGCTACCTCAGCAATCGTCAAGGTCCTAACACACAGAGTTAATCCATAATCGTTTCTTCGATCGTGTATCGCAGATTCCGGACAAATTCTGTCGTTTCTGCATTATTCGACTGTGTTATTGTATTACTGCGTTGCCTACCTTGCGGAATTCCCGGTAAGCTTCGCCCGTGTAAATAGTGTACGAGGAACAGGCGAGTCGTCACGTTTCAATAATGTTATCGGCGTAACGCCGAGCCGGCGAACACGCGGATAAGCCCGAACGTTAATAACGAAGGAAAGAAAGGAGTTCTCCCGTGAAAGTCGTCCCCCCCGGTTCAAATGAAATACGTGCAACGAAACGATTATAAAGTTCATTGCGACCGTCTTGGGGGGATTGAACGTTCAGCGCTAGGTAGCAAGTTTTTTCGGATCGTACATATATATGGGGTTCAATTTGCGGCCGTAGCTTTTACCGTTGTTACGTGATATTAATACAGAGTGTTAGATGGTTTTGAAACGTTAAGCGAGAAGTTACATTGTTTCTGTTTGTTCAACTCTTATCCGCTCGTTTCGGACGCGTCGCGTGTGGCCAAGTTTGATCGATAACAACGATGCAGCACATTTTTTTTGCGACTATAAGGTGTAGCAGATAAATCGGAAATCTTAATTGAAGTGCTTCCTTTGCTTTACACGTCTTCTGTAAGAAGAAAAAAGAAATCGCGGCCAACTCGCATAACTCATTCATCAGCACACTTGACAATCCGTACCTTGCATATAAATCTCTTCTTAAATATTTTTCTATCCATGAGTATCTTTCTTTAGTGGTGTACGTTCGATTATTCTTGTTCCTAGGTATGCAAAAATTGACGCTTTAGCCTTTTGAAGTATCATCTATGCTATTACAATTGTTTAGTCGTCCTATTAGATTTACGGAGTTTTCCAGGCACGGGTCTGGAAATTATTCGGTCCTTCGCAGCAGTTGTAAATTTGGGAGGCCATCGAGCACTTTAACGTTTATTTAGAAGTTCAATGCTTTTCTTCTCGTGGCTCTTGTCCACATCTGTTTGTTATATTTTAACTTCTCGGGTTTTTGGTCTCCACTTTGGTATGTTTTTGTTAGCGACGAAGCGCTGCCCAGACTTATTACCTGCTGCGTTTATTGCTTCGAGACACGCGACTTTCCGCACGCGTCACTCAAGGGTGCGGACGACACTTGAGAGTAACCGTTGACTTGGGGGCGTCCCCTTAGTTCATTCTTTGTTTAATAGTTTGCCAATCGCGTATAGTCAACCACCTCCCTTGTCGAAGTCGAAATTGTAATAACCAATCCGCGTGTCTCATCCCCGCCAAATGTACCCTAACCGAGGTATCTTCAAACCTTTTCTGAGACCTCGAAATCAGAATCCATTCGGCTAGCAACAAGTAACATAGAAATTTTCCGGAAAACAATTACGAACAAATTAGTTAGTCTCCCGGTACACGGGAGTGGTCAAGAGAGAGCCAAACTCGAAAGATCGCAAGATCAACCACGAGTACACTAAACAACAGTATTGTAATTTCCGCATTTTGCGAGGTCTAACAGCTTTCTCCAGTCTCTTGACTTTTCTGGCAACTCAATTTTAGAGCATCCATCATCCAGCTCTTGAACCGTGACGCTCATTTATCTTTGTATACCAAAAGGATTATTTTCCCGTGTATTTAAATAAATAAAATAAAACTTCAAAACAAAGCTGCGAGTTCTATTCACGAATTATGATTTCTACATTACAAACTCGAGGAATTAACGAACCTACTGTGTTCTATTAATTCATCACTACTAGTGCTTCTA